ACAATTGGCAAAAATTAAATGCATTAAATCCTATTTAGGCAATTCATCGTCTTTCTAAATTTTAACGCGTCTTAGGGCCGTAGTGCGGTAGTGACACTTCCGGACATGGGTCCCTATACTCAAATGTTTTCTACTGTTGCACTGAATAACCCCTAGAAGTTTGATCCCATAGTTCTGAAACACCCTGTATAAATATACATTTAAAAAAATAATACAACTGCTTTTTTTTCTTTCTTCTGTAAGAAACTAAGAAAGTGACACGAACAGTGTACTGTGCCAGGATACATTACGCTTGAAAATACACCAGAGCAAGATCTCTGTACTTGTAAAAAAAATTGCATATTTTACAGGAATGTCATACCTGGGATGAGTGCAACACAGGATGGGATTCAGCGAGCATCTGCAAGCAACGTTCTATTTTTCTTAGAATACTACTCTCCCATCGAATCTTTTATAATAATTTATATGTTTACACAAGTAGCATGCGTATAGGTGACATGTTTCAAGAACATTAATATGCAAGATCGAGCCTTAAAATTGGTTTACAAACTTTATGGATCAATTTAACTCGCGTTATATACAGCGGGATGAAATAATTTAATATAACATTATTGATGTAACCATTGAATTACCCTCTTGCCCAAACTTCGCACTTCATGTGACGTTTGAATGCTCGTTGGCACTGTCTGGTAGTGCGGTTTAAAATCCCGTTTAACGGGAATACGGCTTGGTATTCGGGATTGGCAGTGTCCTTTACCGTCGACGTTCTGTCTGTACTGTGATTATCTGTTGGCAACGGAAACTCAAATATGACATATGTATCTGCCTCTCGAGAATAATTGATTCCCCTAATTATGGAAATTTCGATATCGCTATCGTTTAAATCCGTGCAGGACCTGAAAAGATACAATTTTGTTTTTTTTTTTTTTTAGATTCAATTATCACATCATGTAACATTGCATTACACAATAAATGAGACTGAACAATTATAATACAAGTGTGATATCCTTATTATGATAAAGATAATTTGTAATTATCTCTTCTAATTGTAAAAATCTCATTTAAGTTTAAAATTTTCAATATTTATTACTAACTGCACTATTTGATAGGTTTTGGTTTCGTAATGATGTTGCGGCGGTGGCAGTGAATCTCGTTTTCGAACTCTAAGCATATCTAAATCCCTTGTGTAACTCAGCGCGAGTCGTTCCCACCTGTTGTACCCGGGAACATCGCCCAGCGCTTTGGAATGATCCCGCGTGGACAAACACCACTGTGGAATTAAAATTTAAATTGAGCGAGACGCGACAATCGAAAAAATCATGCTATTTCTTTGTATTCAAGAACATCATATTACCTTGATTTGTTTGATTAACTGAGTTTCAAGATTGTCATAAATTTGTTCGTCAGTTCCGCTCGCACCTTCCAGAAAGTCGTCAGCGGTCACTAATATGAAATTTTCGTCTTTCTGAGGCGCGTTGAGTTCCACTTTTTCGAGAGGCGACAACGGAAGCGAATTCATGTCGACGGGCAGCCCGCCTTTGCTGGCTTCGATCAGAGGTTGTATCCCTTTTGCTTGTCGCAGATAATCACGCGCCAGATCCATATCTCCGGCTTTCTTCGCGTTCAGAGCAGCCTGTTTCAATTCCCGCTGCCGTAGCTGCAACTGCATCGTTTGTTTTTCCGCGCGTGACGTAACCCTCTGTCCTAAAAAAAAAAAAAACAATACATAAAAGCATAAGAAATGTAATGTAAACAAATTTCACATGTGACTGTTTACCTGTTCTGGGAGGAACAACGGGTGGCTTTGGTTGCGCGGGTTTTGTTGCAGCGTTATTTTCCGGCGACTCGGGCTTGCCGGGTGGTGCAGGTGGTGCAGCAGAGCCGTTATTCTGCGGCGTAGACGTCAAAGGCGGGAAACCAGGTGGAACGGGAAGTTCGTCCAGAGGAACTGGTTTTCCGCGCGCGTGCAGTTTAATTGCATCCTCGAACTGCTTGCAAATTCTGCCGTATCTGCGCGCCTTCGAGGTGTTTCCCTCAGTTTCGGCAATGGTTTTCGTTCTTCTGTACACCTCGAGACGTTCTTTGAGAGCACCTTCGATGTCTTCAGGACCGAACTTAGGCGCGTCGGCTTTCAGAACAGAATAAATTATCGCGTTTATCACTATTGTGCACATTTTAATTTCAAAACCAACAAAATTGCAATATAATTTTTTCATTGCAAGTTATTTTGTTCAATCTTACCTGCCGGTGTTGCATCGGCGGAAGATTGCTGCTGAACTTCGCTCTCTTCTTTCGCCACTTCCGTTGCACCACCGTCTGAGGAAGGTAGAGTCGGAGTCGGCGGCATATCCGACAAATCGAGCTTTTCACCCGCAGCCACCGCAGCGATAACTATGTCGAATTGCTTAACGGTTTTCACGTACTCCAAAGCTTGCTCTTTATTGCCCGCCTTTTTCCAAGCGACCGCCGCGATTTTATACTTCTCCTGTTGCTTCTTTAACTTATCCAAAGCTTCCTGATCAACTGTAACATCGGCTGCCGGTTCGGCAGGGTCTTCACTTGGAGCTGCCTCCGATGCAGCAGGTGGCTCGTTGCTCTCGGTCGGTGACGATGTTTCTTCTTCTGCAAAAGGTGACAAAAATAGTTTTCATAAAATAAAACTATCAAATCTGTCTAAATATTGTAAAATTTTTTCTTCAAAAAGTAGAATTGATTTCAAATAACTGATAAATTCAAAAATGGAAAATTCACACGGAACAGCATACGTGTGAAACGTTACCTGTATTCTTATCTGTAGATTCTGTAATAGCTGAAGGAGGCAAGACTGGGGGGATGTCGTCTTCGGATACTCTTGTACCCGATTGCGCGGAGGTTAACATTTCTTTAAGGGCTTTCACACCTCTGTTGTATCTTCTTGCTCTGCCAGATTCGTTTTCTCTCCTTGCCTTTTGTTCGGCTGTCTCATACATCACCAATCTTTCCTGCAATAATTTGATCAGTTCCTGTAAAGAGTCATCTTCCTCTTTAGCCTCGGTGGATTCAGACTTGTCGGATTGTGTTTGTTTCTCTTCTGGTGTTACAGGCACCTCCTCTGTCTCTTCTGTCGCAGGTTCATTTCCCGAGAGCATCTGTAACTCTTTCTAAAACATTGAAAACCAATTATAATCAAATTTCATGTTACAATAATTACAATTCAGCGTCATCAGACAGTTGCGCACCAGTAATGCAGGATCATCGTCCGCTTCAGACGGCTCTTCATCGGAATTTGTATCCTTTATGCAATCAGCCACCATATCATCTAGATTTACATTCGCAGCAGCTTTGCGCGCGGCTATACACATACTCAACACTGTACTTCTTTCGGTTCAAATTATTAAAAATGTTTTATTGCAATTGCAAAAGTTTATCAACTCACCGCGTCTACTTTTGTAGCTCGTGTCGTTGCCAGCCGCCAAAGCAGCCAATTCAGCTTCGAAGTCTTCATCATTATCATCGTCTGCCATCGTATTACCACTCATATCCATGTTTATATCAGGTACTTCAAAGATACCGTACTACGTATAAAAAAATGAAGTTTTAATTTAAAAAAAAGCATGTATAAGTGTATCTCTTTGTACAAAAATTAGGGTTAAGCAAAGACAAACACGTGAGATAAGTATGTTTTAAGTATGTTTCGAACTTAAATTGTTTACAATGTAAATGTGCAAAGTGTATACAAGGTGTAGTCTAATAAAAAACTAACGCGATACCTGTTCTAAATTACCAGCCCTGGGCCGTTTCGCTTCTTTTTTCTTGCCAAACATCGTAATACACGTTGAAGGAAAATGTAAACGATCTATCGATCAGACAAAACGGTCAAGATCTGTAAAATAGAAAAAAGAACAATTTGTCAGAATTTTACCGCGGTAATTTTTATTACGTGTCTCGATCAACGCACATAATCATGACAAGTCCCGTCTGGCACCAACTGATACAGGCACGACACTACCGCCAAAGACGCCACTGACGTCACGGCTTCGTCAGCCGTTCAGCAGCTGATCACGCGATAGATATATCTTTCACACCTTTCTCTTGCTCCTTCACCGGAGACTCTTGAAGAGTAAAATTCGCGAAAAAACAATCAAGCAGTAAATAAAAAACTTTATCCGAATTTTTACTTTAAATAAATAAGAATTTATTTAAACATGTAAATTTACGTGAATTTAAATACTACTACGTCTGTAAAAGTTTGAAAATTCGAAAAGTAGCTCGAAGAAGTAGCTTGAAGTTGACAAAGCCTTTAGTTTTTTTTTTTTTTTTAATAGAACTTTATTTAAGAGGTAGCAATTAATTCTTACAAAGATTTGAAAATGGCAAACCACAAGCTGTGAAGTCGAACGAGTCAGCGACGCGATTATTCAAAATTGAAATCATAATTTTTCAAAATTGTGCGCGCGTCTCTCGAGAGTCGAACGATATCGATAGCAACACACGTGAGTACTCGTGCGCACTTCATCACGTTCGGTCGGTCATATGATCTTCGTCGAAAAGGGCGAGCCACGAGAGACCTGTTTTCGCGTTTGACATATCGCTCTCATCTTCCGTGTTGCTGCGTACGAAAAATCCCACTGCAAAATGAAGGGGTGCCTGTTCAACATCGACGGCGGCTATTTGGAGGGTCTCTGCCGTGGCTTCAAGTGCGGCATACTTCAGCAGAGCGATTACCTGAATTTGGTCCAATGCGAAACGCTCGAAGGTACATAATTCAGCCAGTGTGTTTGATCATTCTTGAGATTACACATCCATTTAAATTGTTTTAATGACATATTTTTTGATGACAGAGCTTTCAATGTCTTTGTAACACCATTTCTGGTTGTTTAAATATGAAGATTTATATTCATTTAATGAAAGGAAATTAATTATTTGTGTACACAATTGCTTTGTAGAGTTTTATCAACTTTGTTACATTATAATTAAAAGCCTCTCAATCTTATTCTTTTGTATCTGTGTGTTTAGATCTAAAGTTACATCTAGCTGGCACAGATTACGGCAGTTTTTTGGCCAATGAGCCGTCCCCGTTGTCTGTCAGTGTCATTGATGACAAACTGAGGGAGAAACTGGTCGTGGAGTTTCAACACATGCGCAATCACTCTGTGGAACCTTTGTCTCAGTTTCTGGATTTTATCACTTACAGTTACATGATCGACAACATTATTCTATTGATCACCGGTACGTTGCATCAGAGACCCATCTCGGAATTGATCCCGAAATGCCATCCCCTTGGCAGTTTTGAACAAATGGAGGCGATTCACGTCGCTGCCACACCTGCCGAGTTGTACAACGCTGTGTTGGTAGACACACCTCTGGGTAAGTCTCTGATTTATAATGTTTATTCACTTCAGCCTTAGGCCAAGAAAAGGACTTGATTTACAATCTTCTAAACTCTTTCATCCTTCCATTCCTCTTAGTCATACTCCTTAAATTACCTGACCCATAAACCTATTGCTTCTTTTTCTTTTCTTATTCGCACCATTATTTATGGGTAAGTCTCTGATTTACACTTTTTGACTTTTGCATCTTTATCCGCATTATTTTTTTTTTTTATTCTCTTATCTGCAACTTGTGTGAAAAACATTGCGAACATGAATTGCATTTCTGTTGCAGCGCCTTTCTTCGTCGATTGCATTTCCGAGCAGGACTTGGACGAAATGAACATCGAGATAATAAGAAATACGCTTTACAAGGCTTACCTGGAGGCGTTTTACAAATTTTGCAAAGACCTCGGTGGCACCACCGCGGACACAATGTGTGAAATACTTGCCGTAAGATATTTCACTCGAAATAATACTGCTACTTAGCGGAGCGCGTGCTTTTATAATTTTTCAATTTCGTAGTTCGAAGCAGATAGAAGAGCCATCATTATAACTATTAATTCGTTCGGAACTGAATTGGGCAAAGACGATCGTGCAAAACTGTATCCACGCTGCGGGCGCTTGAATCCGGACGGACTAGCGGCCTTGGCAAGAGCCGATGATTACGAACAAGTGAAGGCCGTGGCGGAATATTATGCCGTGAGTATTTTCAACGCGCGTCGTAAAATCCCCCATCAATGAACGGTTCAAGCTTCTTTGTCTCTCTTGACTTCTATATTCTTCAACATTATTCAAACAGGAATACAGCGCTTTGTTCGAAGGAGCAGGCAACAATCCCGGTGACAAAACTTTGGAAGACAAATTTTTCGAACACGAGGCAAGTATTTAATTTTTTTTTTTTTTTAAGAATGTATATTTAAAGTGACACTATTTTTTTCAATATAAATATACGCAGGTTCGTTTGAACGTCAACGCGTTTCTCCAACAATTTCACTTCGGAGTATTCTATAGCTACTTGAAATTGAAGGAACAGGAATGTCGCAACATTGTATGGATCGCGGAATGCGTTGCCCAAAAGCATCGCGCTAAGATAGACAATTACATCCCTATATTTTAAATTAATTATAAATACGTTAAATTTGATGAGATACATTTGCATCATCTATATTCACCACTGCGACAATGAATTGCCAAAAAGGTTTCGGTCTCAATTTCTCAAAATTAATGCCGAATTACATATTGCGTTGCAATTGTCAGCAGAAAATTATATTTGAAAGTTATTTGACAAACATAGATGTGTAATATTGTCAAATTTATTTATGGGAAATCGAAGGAGGCAGGCATCTGTCACAAGTATCTTTAAGACGTTCTTAGAATCGTTGTTGTTGCATACGTTATGATTTAAACAGTATAATAGAATATAGTGTAAATAAACTGTCCCGTAATCTCCGACATGTAAATCATTTTCTCACTTATTGGCCAATATCGCGCTATAAGTATTATAATTCCATAAAAATTGTAATATATAAATAAAAAATATATCGCATTCCATATGATAAGACAAATGTAATTTCGTTTACGTATACAATAATGTGTCACGATCTCCCAACAAGGCGAGGGAGAGAGGAGCCCTTTCCTCTTTTCCATTTTTCCGCTGTTTTACCGTTGCAAATTCCAATCAGAGTTGCAAACTCTGTCCGGCTAAGGCTGTGTTCAGAGGGAACGAACGAACGCAAGGAAATGCAGAAACAGCAGGAATTGAAAGAAGTCGAGAAGCCTAGCACCGAGAACACCAAAGTGGTGGAGGCACGCACTCAAGCGAGAACTTATGGCTGTGTTCCGATTCCTCACTCAAGTGCATTCGAGTGTCATTTTATCTTTGTTTCATATCCAGTGAGTGATAAAGTATATCCGGGAAGGGTGAGGAATCGGAATATAGTTCTCCTATGAGGAGACTGTGAACTAATGCAACCAGTTCAAGGAAAAAAAAACAAACCTATGGTGTGCGTGCCCCCACCACCTCGGTATTCTCGGTGCTAGGTGCTAGGCTAGCCGGTCAGAGTTTGCAACTCTGAATTTTTAACGCGCTCTTTGGTTCTCTCCTCTCTTTCTTTCCTATTCTTCGTTGACCTAACCTACTTGACTTACCTATCTCATTGCCTTTAGACGTCATAATCTAACCCTAACCTAACCTCTTACTTTTCTTGCTTATTCTTTTCGCTCTACTCCTTACACCTTCCTTATTCATCTTCCCACACTCCCTCTTATGTTCCTCTATCTATAAAGAATTAACTACTTTAAATAAAAAAAACAACGTGAATATATTAATATACTTTATCAAATTCAGTTTTTGTTTCTTACGATAGTAACGCTGTCATTATTTTCATTGTCGAGTTCGCTCGCCAAATCTTGTTGTTTTTACAATAGCTTGTATTTACAGCTTATATTTACATCTGTACAATAATTTTACAAAAATCATTTTCATGATTTTGTATTGTAAAATAAGCCCGTTCTACATTGATCGCAAGCGCAAATGCAAGATATAGATCTCGTAGAATTGACCAATCACGCTGGTCAATTGGCTGATTTGATCAATACGATTAGTCAATTCTACCAGACCTGTTCCTTGCGTTTGCGCTTGCGATCAATGTAGAATAGGCTATAACTCGTCATTGCCATCTATCAGAAACTAAACGCAATTTTACTATTAAAAAGATACAAAAGGAAGAATTATACAAACTTGTTTCGTACGAACGCTTTCAGTCTCGCACTGTAATTGATCTCTCTCCGTTTTCCTAATTTTGTTTAATACGTACTTATTTTACTTGGTTCGAATTCACAATAATTACTTGCGACGACGAACCGTTATTCGTCGTGTGTCCTATTGCGCTAGGTGAGGAAGGCGCTGTATTATTAACATTATTCGTTTGATTCGGTCGCTGATAAGTGGCCATACTTTTTAAACCGATTATTTCGGGATTCTCTTTCCAAAAACGATCGCCGATAATGTCATCCACTAACAAAATAATAGCGGACTTCAACTTTCCCGTATTGTCACTGACTAATTTTCGAATGAGCGTCGTCCCTTTCCGAAACATGGCGGGTTCATTGTTGTAATTTATTTTGAATTGCGTGAAGAGTATCTCGTTTTTGTGACTAGCCATTGTGCCTCTGAGTCTTTCTTCCGCCTGCAATATTTGAACGTCTCATTCGATGTAAAAAAAAAAACAAAAAAAGCATAAAGAAAACTGTGAAAACTTTGATTATTTTTTTATAGCAATCTTCAATCACACTAGTAAAGATGTATAATTCTATTTGTTTTTTTAAATCAATTTAAATCGCAATACACATAGATAAGTGTTTACCTGCTTCGGAGTTAAATGTCCTTTTAAAACAAGGTTCCAGAAACAAGTATTATACAAGTTATTTATATGCACATCAGCCTGTCGCCAAGACAGATAGTCTCTCAGATTTTTATCCGTCGGATATAACGCAATACGAGCGTCAAAAGACGGTGGATAACACAACTCCTTACCCGCAAAATATCTTGGCCAGTGAAAAACATAGGACGAGGCGAAGAGGGAATTCACATTTGTCAACAGCTTCGGCACTGTGAAACAAAACGCATAAGATTAGATCGATTAGGCAAATAATGTGACTATAAAAAAAAAATATGGCTCAGTGGATCGACGATTCTATTTCAAAAACGTGTGTGTGTAAAATATATTACTTCTTCGTTTGTACAGCTCTGTGTCTTTCCGGAAGACAAAAGAGTACTCGTCGCTCTGACCGAAAGCCAGCACGATCTCTTTGAAATCTTCCATTACGGTGATCGCCGCGCGATTCATCAGGTCTAACGCGGCCACATCGTTCGGTTTGACGAACCGATGTGTATCGCAGAACTTGGAGAAGTTTCTGCCGTCTATGCGAACGACGATCCAGCAGTTCGGCAGACACTTGCTGTCCAGCTCGAACTCCTTCACGTACTCGAACTTGCTCTTCGACATCGGTGTCAGACTGAAATATCGCCGCGAGACCGATAACACGCTCCGGCAGATAATTCCTACAAACGCATTGCTTCTCATCCAATTGTTTCTTCAGAAGAGCATCAGTTCTGGAAGTAACAGTAACACAGGAAGAGATTCGCAATTTTTTCGGGACTCGTAATTCTAACATACTTACTTTGCGATCTACTTCGCGATCAACTGACAGCACGCGGTTGCGCGTGAAAAAAAATGCGTGATCTCTAGCTGTTGGCAAATTTTTGTTTCCGGTTACTCTATTTCACCACATATACGTACCTGCCATGTGCATCACGAAGCGCGTCTGTACAAGCGAGATTTGCATTCTTCACAGCAATTGCAAGGAGGAATTGCGCGACACGTGGCGTGGCCAATCAGTTTGCTGTCTCTTTTCGTAAAAGCAAAGAATTGATTGGCTACTGCGCAGTGTTCACAGTTTTGGTTGGGACGGGTTTTTTTAAGCCCCTTGCACAATGGAAGGAATAGCGATAGCGAGAGAAATAACACCAGTTTTAAAGAGTTTAAGCCTCTCGCACAATGGACGGAATAGCGATAGCGATAGAAATAACAAAAGTTTTAAAGAGTTTATATTTAAAAATAAAGGTAAAAACAGCGGAATCTAACATAAAAAACTACACATGTATCAATGCAGATCAGAAAATCGGAATAAGCAATAGCGATAAAATTTCCGACGAGTTGGAATTCTGTGTTAAAAACTGTGTTATTTCTATCGCTATCGCTATTCCTTCCATTGTGCAAGGGGCTTTAAAGAGTTTATATTTATAAATAACGGTAGGAACAACGGAATCTAAAGCCTCTTGCACAATGCGAGGGAACAGTGATAGCGATAAGCAATTCAGACACAGAATTCCAACTCGTCGGAAAATTTATCGCTATTGCTTATTCCGATTTTCTGATCTGCATTGATACACGTGTAGTTTTGTATATTAGATTCCGCTGTTCCTACCGTTATTTATAAATATAAACTCTTTAAAACTGGTGTTATTTCTATCGCCATCGCTATTTCTTCCATTGTGCAAGAGGCTTAACATACAAAAATACACGTGTATCAATGCAGATCAGAAAACGGAATAAGCAATGGCGATAAATTTTCCGACGAGTTGAAATTCTGTGTCTGAATTGCTTATCGCGCTATCACTATTCCCTCGCATTGTGCAAGAGGCTTTACAGCATGCAGCGATGGAGGAGACGCGCATACAACAGCAACGAGCGTTTGCTTGCTCCTCTCTCCTCCCCTGTAGCCCATGCTGTAAGCGTTCCAAAACCGTAAGCGCTGCTTTTGCTAATCTTCCCGCGTAAAATCGACACGTGCGCTGATTTTTATCGAATGTAGCTATATATAATTACAGCGTGTTGCTCAGTCGGGAGTGTGCTTGATGTCACTTCCACGTGTTCGTGAGTAAAAACTTTGAAGTTTTATTGGTTATCTTAGGTTATATTCATGTAAATATTCTTTTTCTTACGTCTTTGCTGTAATATTAAGGCTATGTATTTTACAACAAAGTGAAACGTTAGAAAGATATCAAGCTCTGCCAATCAAAACTTATCAGAGCTATTCAGATTTTATTTATCATTTTGGAGCAATGATAGAGACTAAGGTAGTTGCGGTATCTTGTTAAATTATTACACATGTAGGTAAAATATTTGTTTTTTTCAGGCTTACGAGAGCTAAAACAATAGCAAGATGAGTAGTAAATATTACAGACAACGTATGACACCAAAACATCACATTGCTCAGCAATTGTTGTTCTCGGTGTTTACAGCAAACGATATAAGAAATTTAAGTGTGACAAAAATCTGGACACCACTGTGTTTCAATATTCTAGGACATCCTTTGAAGGGTGGATTGTACGATCCATCTTTAGGTAGCATCTTTTATTTTATAAAAATATTTTATTTTTAGTGCTATGTATGTAGTCATAAAAACTATATAAATATATATTTTGTTATGTGAAGTTTTTGTTTTTATTTAGGTCCAATAAGAAACAGCTTGGAACTATGCGTCACATGTGGATGCGTTGGTCAGAAATGTCCAGGTCACTTTGGACATATAGAACTGCCAGTACCGGTTGTCAATCCGCTGTTTCACAAAGGATTGGCCACGCTGATCAAACTGGCATGCTTGAACTGTTTCACCTTTCAAATACCATCATATGTTAAACTGTTACTATCCGCCAAATTAAAATTGCTTTTCGAAGGGCACCTCAATGATGTTGACAGCCTGGATCATGAGGTGTCACCCTTAGTATCAAATCAGGAATTCCAGAAGTTAGAAGACCAATCTGAATACATATGCGAAGTAATTAATATTTTCATGCAGAACTTTTACAACAGATGCAGACAGAATACATCTCAAGATTGTGACAATCATACCAATGTAAAAAACATCCTTGCAACGTGGCACGAGTACGTCGAGAATATTCTAAAGAAATACGTCAGGAACAATCGTGCCGGAGTATGCATGAATTGTCAACAAGCTTTGCCGAAACTTTTGGTGTTACAGAATAAAATAATGATAACAAATAAGGAAGTGCCTAACAAGGAAGTAATATCCAACGAAGTGGTGCATAAATTGGAGACAGTGATGATCATGCCAGATCAGTCTAAGGAATATCTACGGAAAATTTGGGAAAACGAAAAAGACTTTCTAAAGATTATTATGCCCTGCCTGGAATCGGTGGAAATCGAATATCCTACCGATATATTATTTTTCGAGGTGATACCGGTGCCACCACCGATAGCGCGACCGGTAAACGTTGTCAAGAATCAATTGCTCGAGCATCCCCAGACAATGATCTACAAGACTATCATACAGGACTGTCTCGTATTGAGGAACATTGTACAAACAATTCAGGACGGTAACACGGATAATTTGCCCGAAGAAGGCCGGCTCGTTTTCGAACAGATAAGAGGTACTACGGCAGTAGAGAAGCTGCACAACGCCTGGCAGGCGTTGCAGATCAACGTGAATCATCTGATGGATCGCGACATGAACAAGACCCCGGAATCGATAAACTGTCTGGGTCTGAAACAGATTCTCGAGAAGAAGGAAGGCATCATTCGCATGCACATGATGGGTAAGAGAGTGAACTTCGCCGCGCGTTCAGTCATCACCCCGGATCCGGATTTGAACATCGACGAGATCGGCGTCCCTGAGGCTTTCGCTCTCAAACTAACGTACCCTATGCCCGTGACGCCTTGGAACGTCGTCGAACTGAGAGAGTATGTTATGAACGGACCCAACGTTCATCCCGGCGCGGTCATGGTGGAGAACGAGGACGGATCGGTACAGGCGATCAACAAAATCAATCGCTACGCTATTGCGAAGCGTCTTCTGACGGCGTTCAGGACCAACGACACCTTTGTCGGCATTAAGATACTGCATCGGCATCTTCAGAACGGCGACATGTTGCTGCTTAATCGACAACCGACTTTGCACAAACCTAGCATCATGGCTCACAAAGCGCGCGTTCTCAAGGGCGAGAAGACCTTTCATCTGCATTACGCCAACTGTAAAGCGTACAACGCGGATTTTGACGGCGACGAGATGAACGCGCACTTTCCGCAGAATGAAGTGGCCAGAAGCGAAGGTTGCAACATAGCTGCTGTGCATAATCAGTATCTCGTACCGAAAGACGGAACTCCGTTGAGTGGCTTAATACAGGATTACATGGTGTCCGGAGTGCGTCTGACAACTCGGGGTAAATTTTTCCCCAGAAAAATATACATGCAATTGGTTTACCCCGCTCTGTCATCATTGGAAAAAAAAATAATTCTCTTGCCTCCGGCTGTTATCAAGCCGATACCGATGTGGTCGGGAAAGCAGATTCTCTCGACCATCATTATCAATATTATTCCCGCGAATAAAGCGCGAATCAACCTAACATCCAACACAAAGATCAACGCGAGGGAGTGGCAAATGCAGCCGCCACGAATCTGGAAATGCGGAGAGGAATTCAAAAATCCTCTGACCATGTCGGAAGCTGAAGTTATAATTCGACATGGCGAATTGTTGTGCGGAGTGCTCGATAAGACTCATTACGGAGCGACTCCTTATGGTCTTATTCACTGTATTTACGAGTTATACGGGGGAAAGTACGCGAACAAAATGTTGAGCGCGTTCGGCAAACTGTTCCAAACGTACTTGCAGTACGAAGGATTCACTCTCGGTGTCGAGGACATTTTGATAACGCGCGTGATCGACAAGAAACGCAAGAAGATCGTCGCCAAATGCAGACAAATTGGCGAAAATATACAAAAATCGGTAACGAACATGCCGGATGACGCGTCTATGGACGAAGTGAAAGCCAAAATGGAAGAATCTTATTACAGCAATCCAAAGTTCCGCGCGCAGGTCGATAACAAGTACAAGAGCGCGCTGGACGTTTATACGAACGACATTAACAAGATGTGTCTGTCAGCGGGACTTTTCAAGAAGTTTCCGGACAACAACTTGCAACTTATGGTGCAATCCGGCGCGAAAGGATCAACCGTAAACACTATGCAGATATCGTGTCTGCTCGGGCAGAGCGAATTGGAAGGCAAAAGACCTCCGTTAATGATAAGCGGTAAGAGTTTATCGAGTTTCCCGGCTTACGATCCGACACCCAGAGCGGGCGGATTCATCGACGGCAGATTTATGACTGGCATTAAGCCGCAGGAGTGTTTCTTCCATTGCATGGCGGGACGGGAAGGTTTGATCGATACCGCTGTGAAAACCAGTAGATCCGGTTACTTGCAACGATGTCTTGTGAAGCATTTAGAAGGTTTGGTTATCAATTACGACGCGACGGTCAGAGATTCGGACAACAGTTTGATACAATTCTATTACGGAGAAGACGGCTTGGACATACCCGGCTCGCGTTTCTTGCGAAAGGAACAACTGCCGTTTTTGGTCGACAACAAGGACGCTATTCTGGACACGGAGTTACTGAAACAGCTGAAACCCACCAAGAAAGAAGTAACGAGAATAATCAAAAAGATCAAGAAATGGGAGAACAAAAACGGATCCACTTTACGGAAGAAGAGAATAAGCGAGTTCAGTAAGTTCTCGGAAGAAAATATCAATCAGTACAGCAATGGGAAAAGAAAAACCATCGATCAGAACAATGGTAGAAGCAAGGCCTCGATATCGCTTATGAAGAAGTGGATAAAAGCGAGTGAGGAAGTGAAAGCGACGTTTCGCGCGCTGTGCGAACGATGTCCCGAACCGGTGACTTCGAAGTACAGAGAGGACTTGGAATTTGGCGCTCTACCGGAAAGTATAGAACGTTTGATGGACGAATACCTTTCTCATTCGTCGCAGGTAAAGAAATCGGATCTTAGAGATCTGTTGTCCGTGAAATTTATGAACACCTTCTGTCCTCCCGGTGAACCGGTCGGATTATTGGCGGCGCAATCTATAGGCGAGCCGTCTACGCAGCTAACGCTCAACACCTTTCACTTCGCTGGACGCGGTGAGATGAACGTGACCCTGGGTATTCCTAGATTACGTGAGATTCTGATGATGGCGTCAAGAAATATAAAGACTCCGAGTATGGAAATACCCTTCAAAAACGGACTGCAAAATTTGGAGAAACAGGCGAAGAAGCTGAGATCGAAGTTGACGAGGTGCGTTCTGAGCGACGTACTGAAGGACATTACGATCAATAGGATAATGAAGGATAATAAATCTCAAAGACAACTAGTGTTCACCTTAACAATCGAGTATCTTCCTCACAAGTACTACAAGAGAGAGTTCTCCGTTCATCCGCAAGATGTGATCAAACGCACCGAGGAGATCTTCTTCAGAAACATGTTCAAGGAAATCGCCAAAATCGCCAAAATGACCAAGGTCTACTTGCACTTCGAGGAACATAAAAAACGAGCGAAGGAGGACGAGGACGCGGCTTTAGACGAAATCGATGAAGACGGCGAGACGTTACCGACAACAAACAAAACGCGAATGGATTTGGGGGAGATGCATGAGTCATCCGACGAGGAGGACGTTGCGGAAGATGCTGACGCGACAATGGTTAAATCGAGGTCGCGTCATCAGGAGAATCAGGAGTACGAAGATCCGGAAGAGGAAGAAGAGGAAATACAAAATGAAGCAAATGATGAGGAAGAGAATGATGATAATAATAATAATAATAAAAACAATAAAACCTCAGAAGAAGACCGAGACGACAGCGATGATGAAAATAATATCGCGACGCCCACGAAAAACAAAAAGTCCGACAACAGAAAAAGTAGCGTTTTAGATATGTACGACCATGCCATTGATTACGAGTACGACGAAAACAAATTTTCATGGTGCAAGCTCACATTTTGGGTAAATATTTCACAGAGAGAAAATTTAATACTTTTATAAATGTACACATACGCACATAAAATGACGAAAACACACAGACCTATAGGGTGCTTTCCAACTACGTACACAGGCGACACTGTGTAACACTGTGTCCACTAGTGTGAGTGAGACACAACTGATATGCTCTTTCTCACACTAATGGACACTGTGTTACACAGTGTCGCCTGTGTACGTAGTTGGAAAGCACCCAATCTCTTATCGCGCAATTATCACGTTGTAATGTATTTCGTTCGCTCGTGTTCTGGACGCGGTTACATCCGTGTTGTTTCTTGATAAATTTTATTTACTTCCCTTTTAGTTACCGCTCAAAATGATCAAATTAGACTTGCCAACGATAATTCGAAACGCTGCCAACAAAACTGTCTTGTGGGAGACCCCGTGCATCAAGAAAGGCTTCACTTTTCAAAACAATAAGGGTGAAACAATTATCAAAACGGACGGTTTGAACATAGCGGTAAAGTAAACGCTAACTTTTTCACACGAGTTATTCGCAAATAAAAATCTTTATCTCATTAAATCCTCTCTTGCTTTGTCAATTGCAGGAAATGTTCAAGTACGATAAGACGCTAGACTTGAACAGATTGTATTCAAACGACGTATACAATATTTCCCAAACGTACGGCATTGAAGCCGCGTACAGAGTTATAATAAACGAAGTTCGGAACGTTTTCAAAATGTACGGCATCACCGTTGACTACAGACATCTTTCTTTAATCGCGGATTATATGACATACGACGGCACGTACAAACCGCTCAGTCGAAAGGGAATGGAGAGTTCGGCCTCGCCGTTGCAGCAAATAAGCTTCGAAAGCTCCTTGACTTTCTTGAAAAGCGCCACTTTACAGGGTAAGTGACGAATGTGTACGCGCGTATACAAAATTTAAAGATCACTTTCCCGAAGAGTTAAAATGACCTTCGGTCATACTTTAGATCGATCAGATTATTGGTTTTATAGAGACGTTAAACAATTCACGTAATTTTGATTTACCGTATTTTGAACGGATTATAAATTTTTCTTAAATTGTTTTTTACCACACATAGGAAAAAAAGACGACATATCGTCACCTTCGAGCAGACTGATGCTGGGACAACCTTGCAAATCCGGAACTGGAGCATTTTCTGTAATGCCGTTGATAGATATAACACTCAGATACAACAAGATATAACAGCACGTCCAACTTCCACAACTTTATTAATCATTAAGGCATATTTGTATATTTTATGTAATTGTTATACATGTATTTTTATAATTTGAGTATATATTTTGGCGCAACAGAATTTTCTGAGCTTAAGAAAAAAAAAATCAAATTTGTGTCGTGTCGAGTTTTTTTTTTTTTTTAAACATCACCATTGCATATTACAAAAATTGTGTCTTTTTCATCAGAGAAGTGTGATTGAGATACATAATATTGCTTGCGTAAAATATAGCGCTATAATAATACAGTATTAAAAAATACAGCCATATTTAAATTGCAGAAATTATTTAATTGTGCTTTTGAACGGTACTTTTGAGTTTCTCGAAATTTGCGCCGGAAAACTTCTCCAGCTGAAAAAGAAAAGCAAACATTTTTTTTTTGATTACGCAGCTGCGCTTGATTTTGATCGACGCTGAGCAAAACATTTGAACGTATTTCGATTACGTTTGATTGATTATTGTGTTTGAAAACGTACCACTTCGTTTTGTTTTATGAAAACAAACGTGGGCATACTGGCGATGTCGTATTCGGCAGCAATATCCTCGCATTCGTCGACGTCAACTTTTAGAAAAACGACGTTGTCGAGTTCCTACACGTAAAATAACGTTAATTTCAACAAATAAATATTTAACAAATAAATTAACAAAAAACAATATGATTTAATTAAAATTCAATTAGAAACAAGCAAATCCGATGTGTGTGAAATAAAAACCTTCGCCAATTCTTCGACCATCGGTCCGATCATCTTGCATGGTCCGCACCAAACAGCGAAAAAGTCAATAACTACCAATTTGTTGCCCGCGTCTTTCAGCTTGGCCTTCAAGTCATCCTGGAAAAATGGGACGATAAACACGTACATTTCATGTTAAAAATTTTATCAAAAGCTAAAAAGAACGTTTAAACACGTATGTGAACACGTTCGTGTGTTAGTACAGGTAACGTTGTGATATCCAACAATTTATAAAAAAAAAAAACGAGAGAGAGAGAGAGAGAAAATTTCGATACGGCCATCATTACGCGTATCTAGATAGGATAGGATAAGCTATCTCAACCACTTCACGTATAACTGTCGTTAAATAGTTTGCTTATATAATAAACGCAATGGTACTTTAAAATTCACTTTAGTTAACCACAACATGTTTAGTGATAAAAGATATACAAGTAAAAAAACAACATTACAAAATACTCGTTTTGAACGTACCGATCGATGCTCTAATATTTTTACGTAGTTACTTTAGTCACATAGCTCGTTAATTTTTAATTAAAACAAGTTTTCTTAACGCTTTCGTGTGTGTGAGAAACATAAAACTTTTTTTTCCTTTAAAAAAAATTCCTTTTCCCGACATTAACTAATAGATATCTCGAATGAATCACGATCAATCGTGACACGCTTGAGATTCTAAGAATGTCCGACGACTCGAAATGTGTCACAAATTGACGCAACTTTTTAACGTGTGTCAAAAATTTCAAATAAATTCCGGCGCGAATCTCTCAGACGCGATTTCATTGCGGAACTTGCGGTGAGTTATAATTATTTCACTGATTAAACACTTTCATTATTAAGCAGGTTTTCTGATGGGCCTGGGAAGATAACAAGAGTGCTGACTCATCAATTGCTGTCGATTATATTGAAATATGCAAGAATTACAGCGTGCAACTATTGTTAATTTTTATTTTTCGCAACGTGTAATCGTTTGTTTCATACAATTATATTGTTATCAATATGTAATTATCTTTTAATTATCTTTCGTATGCTTACACATCTGTCAGCGCGATGCGCTATTGCGTTTCTACCATTTTTCTCGGCTTTTTTTTAAACTCCTGGTCTCTCCACGTAATTCGCGCATCGTGTTATTATTTCTGCTTTTGCAATCGCAACATAAATTTTCCGAGAAAATACAGGAGAGAGAATTTCTAATAGAGTTTTTAAGACACGTTGTACATCCGACACGAGTTCTTGCAAGAGAAGGAAAATTGATCGGTCGCATCGGTCGAATTGTTCGAGTGGTTTTCCTCCTTCGTCCGAGATCTCGGATCGATTTTCCAGCATCTTGGACGCAAGATCTGAGAAATTATGATCGTATAGTTTTTTTTTTTTTTTTTTTTTTTTTTTTTTCCACACCAACTATGCGTCAAGACATTCGCTTTCCCCGCGTCTTTGGTTTTATTATTACACCGATCGATATTGCGACGTTAAACTATTCAAAGTATAAAATGCGCAACGGCATGAAAAAAAAAAAATCACTTCGTTTTACGTAGCAGAGTGTACTCGAAGTGTTTGATATACTTATAGCGTATGTGCATATAAACTATAACGGCGTGTGTGATTGTATTCAATTGTCCGGCCAGTGGAAAAAGCATCCGGCACGGCTGCGTCATACAACTACTTCGTTCCTTCGAAGTGATTACATCGACCTAGTCTTCGCGATGACGGAACGATGGCGTAATTAAAATTGCTCGTGATTGACGTAACGTTTCGGCGAGAAACTTTGTATATCTGCTCTATGTTGGCGGCTATCGTGCAATTCGACAAAGCTCGCATACTACGTTTTGAAAACAATAGGAACAAATTCTTTGTCTTTGTCGCGAAATTGTGGCGCAACAACGAAACGGAATCGATGTTCGCAAGGTCAGAACCAGGATAAGATCGAAGTAGATTTTCGCGGAAAAAAAAACGATACGTATATGTGTACATCGTACACACGGGGATTCGCCGCGACCCGTACACACGCTACGTGTGTGTACAGCGTTGTCGGATTACGTGTAAATGATTGTTGGTGAACGGTCACGAAACAATTAAGTTTCTAGCACAGCTCGACTCGATCAATTCAGTGGACGCGAGTCACTCCTCAAACAAAAACCTGCCTGCAAATTTTCCATACAACACAATCGTGTCTCTTTTATCACAAGCCGGTACAACAAAAGTCGCATCGTTTCCTTTAAGTTGGTACCGCACTCGATTCCGGCAACATCGCCTCCTCCGGAACGGAATGTAACCGCTCGCTCGCTCGCTCGCGCACGCGTCCGCGGTTTTTACATCCAAGGTTATCTTCGCGTCGCGCATTTTTGCGAGCCGATTATTATCCTGCGATTGGGATCGATGAGTCGCACCCATCGCGGATGTGTGTCCACGATTAATTGCGTTACTTACGGTGTTCTGAATGTGTATAACTTTTCCGTTAGACATTTTGGTTGATCTTTAGCGGGTTAGCAAGTGGCGATCGCGATTCTGGTGACAACAATCCAGACGTTACGGCAACTCGACAACGACTGACGGAGAACTGCGCCTGACTGACCGGCCTGAATACTGACTACCGTAGTCATAGTTGTAGTACAGGCGCAAATCTCCTACTTCTCGTCCTCCTCCTCCTCCTCTTTTCGTTGAATCAGCGCTGTACAAAGGCGCCAAACGCTATGTACTATGACGGGCAACTCCGCGTAAGATTTTATTTATTGCGAAGGTGCGGCGCACTTTCGGCACGTTCTTTTCAAGTTCTTTTATAATTATACTCTACTCATCAATGTTCGATAGTTGGTTGGCGCCAGTTTCCTATCACGCCGTTCTCAAAACTCGACGTAACAATTTATCTTAATGTTCGTTTTTCGGACCTGACGTCAAATTGGCTCGGTAGTACAGTTTTGTTCCAACTTCTAACGGAGAGGCGTGGGCTCGGAAAGCGATAATGTTTTTAAGGCAAAGAAGCTTAGTAAATAATACACACTAATATATATGATATAAAATAACGCAAATGTACATTTATTATAGCGTACGGTATTTCAGCACGGTGTGTGGATACAGTCCATTCACTATATTCGTCACTCCCTACGTATAATCCCGCAACTCCAAAACGCAAATTTTAGGAGGAGAGCAGTTTAAAAGTTTAAAGCTTCATATAGTTTTCCTAGTTAAGGGATCTTTCGGTTTTAAATTTTTACCTTACTTATGAATATTTTTTTTTAATACCTGATGACCACAAAGAACATGACTTTCTGAGTGTCACTATGCAATAAACTGAAAATCCCATATGTGACACTTATGTTAATTATACGTAGGGAGTGACGATATAAAGTCAGTTATTACGAACGGTGACGAAACGCACATGTCCGAACATCACAAAATAGTCGCTATAAGGTGATCGCGAGATGATACAAATGCGCTAGAATATGCGACACGTAAGCGCGATGATCGATGCGACCATGGATAGGCGACCGCGGAGAAAGACTTGTTCGCGCGCGCTTACATCCCGGTGACCAATAATTAATCGATTGCGGGACAAAACAATAGTGACGGATGACTACGCTAATTCCGTAGCACGAATCTTCGACAATTCTCACTTGTATTACGGTAAACTCCGATCGGACACGTATTAGACACACGGTCGCGATTTTTCGGCAAGGATAACGTTATTTTACATGAATTCGATATTACAGCCGAGAACGCGATAGACGTACGGTTTCGATACAAAACAAGACAAAAACAAGAACGCACAGAATGATGCACTATAACGGATGATAACAGAACCCGGATTGTTGCGAACGTAAAGCCAGTATTACATTTGTCGTACGACAAAGAGATTTTAAGTATATTGATTGGCTATCAAATACAGTTGTTTATGAAACTCTATCTGATAGCCAATCAACATACTTAAAATCTTTGTCGTACGACAAATGTAATATTAGCCTAACGGAAGGCGGAAGACAGCGGCAAAGAATTCTCACTAATTAATATCAATTCGATTAACATAAAAAATGAACGCAATACGCAATATATTAATTCTTTGGCAATAATATCGAGCTCGCGGGATGGTCCGACGAGACTCGATTTGCTAATATAGAACGAGATAGAACCGCGAAATAGGCGAGAGAGAGAGTAACAGCCACATTACGCTCGATGGTTGTCCTCCAATCTATAAATCGACAGCCAAATCCTGTCCTTTCGGTCTTTATCGGTGGCCTTTCTCGAGTGTTGTCCTGCATTCACCAACACTTTGCACGGTGACGAACTCGCGTGTCCGATGGCACTCGCAAGAATGAGCTCACATCGTTCGGCAATTGCTCTTTTCGCTGAGCGCTGCTCTTTTCACTAGGTACCTAGGTCAATCAGATTCTTTCTTCCGCGGCGCTATGATTAACAGCAGCCACATCTTAGGGCGTAATAACGATTCGGGCCTTTTCTTGGCCGTATCAGGCCCGTTCTGCTTCGATTAAATATTGAGGCGAGCTCGGTGAGGCCCATGTCTCAGCATCGCCGAGCCTGTCAACGGGAGCTCCGATTCGGATGTTTAGAGATCGGAGTGCGCACCTCTTTCTCTTTCGAGACGATCGAAATTAACGCGCCGAGTATTTGTGCCCTTGATACCTCACGCTCATGCCTCTCTCGCTATCCTCCTCTTCTGTCTTCTTTGCTCGCTTCTATCCGCCAAATACGTAAAGTGTGTCCTCTTTCTTCGCGTTGAAAATCAATCACAAAACAGCCGCCAAGCGTCCCGCACGATACGCAACGATACTACAAAAATGTCGCAAAACCCCGATGGCAACGATCTGCTCTGAAAATGAGAACATATTAGTACAATAACTCATTTAGGAGATATTCGCAACAGAGACAACATAGGCGCAATGCGCCCTCGCAAATGTAAGTGCACTCACCAATGTTTCGCTAGCGCTACGCGATCTAATGAGCTGCTCCTCCTTATAAATATTCGGAAACGCGAGCTCACCGTCTCCTGCGCCGGCCGGAAATGCATTTCCCCTGTGACGGGAAAAGTGTCACGTCACAACTCCCCCAACCCGAGGAGGATCGAGGAGGTGTGTTGACCAACTCGACGAACTCGGTCGCTGACTCTCTTTTTGCACATAATAAAAAAAAAAACAACTATAATACGGTATCACGAAAATAAATCACGACTTACCAGAGACCCGTGGTCTCGCGCCAACACGACGGTATCGCTGCCCCATTTCGCTCGGTCGCACAATCCGTCATCAAACACAATGACAACTCACAAACTACTGATGACACTGTCTTGCTAATTCGATGTGGCCTCTAACATGTCGGTGCTAATTTAGCGGTAATCCTAGATTTCGGATTATTGCAAGGCTCTTACGCCCAAACATAGTCCCGATAGATTCTAAATTAACTAAAGCCGGCAACGTATAACCCTTCACCTAAATACTAAAAAAAATAACGCAGAGACAACAACGCTTTACAATCAAATGTAATATACGAACTATCAACCTCGAAACTACGAAACTGTCGACTCTCAATCATATTATCTTACTTTGACAGCCGATATTTCGAATAATCAAGAAAGAGGCACGGTAGTGCCTCGCGCCAAGTTCACGCGCTCCCGCGCGCGCAAACTGTGCGAGGCACACTGTGCCTATTATACGCCAAACTTATATATTTTTGAAAGTGAGAAATTGTTATTCCGTATAAGCTTACTTGAAACTCGAGAACAACAAAATCTAACCGAAATTTATTCGAAATAAGCGAGAATATTCCACTTGAGCACCAAAATTTTCTAACAACACTCGCGAATTTCAATCGCGATATAATTTTCCGGCATTCAAAATATCTGGGCAAACTCAACTTTACGATAAATACATTTCTAGCTGAAAGAAAATTATAATTAACACAAGAATAAATATACAAGTGTCATCAGTATCTTATACACCAGGGACTCGGACCGAAATGAAATTTCGGTCCGTTTACGGTTACGGTCCGATGCTGTACCTGATTTTCGGTTTCGGTTTCGGTTTCGGTCCTTTTATCAAAAACGGTGACCGTAACCGTTTGGATATCGATTTTTTTC